AAATTCTGGATGAAGATGAATGCTATTTAAATTTTTATTTATATATACTATGTGCGAGTATATAAAATTTTATATGTATTTTAATAGTTGCAATTAATTCTAAAAGTGAAAATTTGGGTTGTTTTTTTCCAGCTTTCTAATTTTTAATGTTCATTTTACATCCTGAGAATTCATCAAACCCTTTAATTGTTTTCCTCAAAAGTAAATAATCTGAAGAGACCAGATCACATAGATAGACCAGTCTCCTTATTACTGTTCATTATAAAATGTTTGCTACTATATTAGCTGAAGTTGAACACTTAAAGAACCATGTTCTGGATATAATACACATGGATTAAACATGTTATATTGCCAAGGGGAACATCAACACTTATAAATGTAATAGAATATATCAGTTTAAAAAAGGGAAGGAACAGCAGTAATTTGGGGGAGGGGTGAAGAAAACACTTTTGTTGGTTTGAGATGGCCATTTCTCCTTGCAGTATTGAATAAAATAAATCCCAGAGAAGAATTTACAGCTTCGGTTAAAAACATATATCAACAGCAAACAGCAGATGTCATAGCCAGTGGGACATTTTCTTTGAAATTTTCAGTCAAGTAAAAGTAACTAGAAAAAAAAAATGTTCTACAGGTAGTTCTTAACATATGACCACAATTGAGCCCAGAATTTATGTTGCTAAGTGTGAAATTTGTTAAATGTGAGTTTTGCCCCATTTTGCAACTTTTCTTGCCACAATTGTGTCAGATTTTGTTGCAGAAAATCAAATCCAGAAAGCACACACAGATAACTGATTCGGTAGGATTCATTAACTTCTTTATATACATAATAACACATGAAATAAATTTACAATACCAACGGCAGATTCTTCCAACGTGATAGAGAGGAGAGATTATAAGTAAGTTCTTAGTTTCAGTTCGGCAGGCAGACAAGACGAGACTATTTTCGTTTTAGAGCTGAGCATAGAGCTAAGCCATGCCCAGGCACCTTCCTTAAGTTTCTGTTTCCAAAATAGCCCTCATTGGCTGACCTTGTTGCCATGTCTCTGCCAGTTCATGAATATTCTGACAAGTTGCTAAGTGAATCACTACATGTATTAAATTAGTAACATAGTTGTTAGATGAATCTGGCAGCCCCATTGACTTTGCTTGTCAGAAGGTCGCAAAAGATGATCACATGACCCCGGGATATTGCAACGGTCATAAATGTGAGTCAGTTGTTAAGCATCCGAATGTAAACCATGTGACCATGGGGATTCTGCAACAGTCATAAGTGTGAAAAATGGTCATAAGTCACTTTTTTCAGTCCCATTGTAACTTTGAATGATCACTAAATGAACTGTTGTAAGTTGAGGACTACCTGTATTTTTTCTCCTTTATTATTTTTATCATATCATTTTATCATATTTTAAAAATACGAGCTGTTTTGGAAAGATTAACAAGTATTAGGCATTAATAATCAAGGAGATGAAAATACTACATGGAAGATGTAGTATTAACCATTGTGCAACCACAAAATACAACAAGGTAGCTGGTTACCACGGTATTGATTTCAAGAAATGTTATAAACACAGTTGTGCTGTCAACACCAATATTTGGTTTATTTGTGTCATTGTCCTGCAAGAGAGGAAAATGTACAGATAACCTGTTCATAAGACTGAATTAAAATGTGGTTGCTTCACATCTGGCCTTTTAAAACATATTTGTTTCCCCAAGAGTATAAATAAAAATATAAATGCAACTAACAAGGGTTTGGAAACATGTATATCACATCATTATGTTGGCTAGAGAACTATATTGGGGGACCATCTCTTTTGATTATGTTGTAGGTGGCCAAGCTCTGGTTGTACTGGTTGATAGGCTCAGCCAATCTCATTGTACACATGTTGTACTCTTACAATAAAGGTAATAATAATCTGTAACAATCAAGGAATAGATGAAGTAATTATTGTGGTCTGCTGGTGGCCTGCGGAGATGGCAGCAGAGTCGAACAGTGGAGATAAACATGGCCAGTTCTGGAGTCTGAGAAGGGCTCAGATGAGGGATCTCCATCCGACACAGAGATGGAGCCAGGGCCATCTGAGAGCTATGTGCTGACTCTGGAGCCTCCAGAATCTGACAGCAGCGAGGCAGAGGAACAGGGGGAGCCTGTTCCCAGTGCACACTTACACAGAGCTGCCAGAAGGCAAAAACAGTTAAAACAAAAGGAGCAACTCAGGAGTAAGGTTTGAAGATCACAGGCCTCTCCCATAAGACATAAAGGAGGGGCAAAGGGACATGAGCCTTTGCAGGAAGCAACTTTGTTTGTTCTGGTTGGTGTAAAATCTGAAGCTCTGTGTTGACTTTGTGCTCCGTTTGGCCTTGAACAGCTAATTGGCAATTTAATTGTTGGCAACATTTCAAGGGAGATAAAGGTGGGTGCTTATCAGCCTTATCCTGAAAGACTGTGGCAGATTTCTGTTGGGCTATTCATAAACTGTTTGGGACTCATTACAGGCTGTGAATGCATATAATTCACAGCCATTGAAATAATTAAAAAAAAAAGGTTTTTTGGAACAGTGTGTGTTTGTTACTGTGTCAGGAAGCCTTGGTCAGTATCTTGGGTTTGGAATCCCTGTATTAGTCTTATCTTGAAAGAATCATTTGGTGGAACAAAATGCAGAAAACGTAACCTCCACTAAACTGAGGCAGCAAGTGAAGACAGGTGAAAATTCTGAAGGCCAAAGCTTTCTCAAGAAATTCGGAACTAAAATATATATGTATGGGAAGTTTGAAGTTTAAATAACAAACATTTGTCTAGGCAATTTCCTAGCTATTTTCCAAGGAAGAAAGAAAAATCAAAGGCAATAGGTTGTTGTACAAATTCAAAAACAAAACTATAAGTAATGAACGGAGATAAGCAATTGTCAGTGGAAAAAAAATTAACATTTTGACAAGCAGTGAGCAAATGTAATTTAAATGGAAGGAGGAAATAGCCACTTTTTCTTTCTTTTTCTCTTGAAGATCATTATTTGCCAAATGGCATGCATTTTTTCTAACATTTGCAGAACAGTCAACACGTTTCTGCTAAGATAATTTGTCAAAGAAACACACAGGCCATATGAAGCTGAAGGGATGATTGTGTAGGCCAGCGAATACAAACCAAAATAAATTGATATTGCCAGAAGAAGGATCCTGGCTGATTTCTTTATGGAGTTTTAAAACACAAATGTAGGTACAGCATTTAATAATCTCAACTATGATATATTTGTACTTTTTCCTTTTCAAAGCCATACATCAGATGACAAAACTCAACATAGTTTTACCATATAACACTAATTTAGAGGCATCAAAGGTGAAGAGGACCATGCACTTCTAAATTAGGGATGGAGAGTATCATATCTTCCACTTTTCAGATGGAATTGTGTATGTCTAGTATGATGAAAAGAAGGACCAGGGGAGATATGATAGCAACGTTCCAATATCTAAGGGGCTGCCACAAAGAAGGAGTCAAGCTATTCTCCAAAGCACCAGAGGGTAGGATAAGAAGCAATGGGTAGAAACTAATCAAGGAAAAAACTAATCAACGTAGAACTAAGGAGAAATTTCTTGACAATTAGAAAAATTAATCAGTGGGACAACATACCTCCAGAAGTTGTAAATGCTCCGACACTGGAAGTTTTTAAAAAGAGGTTGGAAAACCATTTATCTGAAATGGAATTGGGTTTCCTGCCTAAGCGGGGGTTGGACTAGAAGACCTCCAAGGTCCCTGCCAACTCTGTTATTCTATTCTATTCAAACAAAATTGACTGTATCTCTAAGACCTTCGTGGATCAGGATGGAGTGAGTCATGATTTATTGACAAAGACAATCTACCAATTGCATAGCAAGCAGAAATGCAAGCAATACAGTTGTTTCTGTCCACATGGTTGAGTAATGGATAATTTTACATGGCAGAAATAATGTATGGACAGGGAATCAGTAGAGTTAGGAGGTTAAGTTTTCTAAGAATGGTTTCTCAAGGCTGGTGTTTGTGTGAAAGGAAAATGAACTTTATCTAGGAAATAACCTAAATTAGGGAAAGGCTAAGACACTTAGGTCTGTTGTATCTACTGTTGGTCTGTTGTATCCAGCTTTGGAGTCCTTGGAAGACTCTGATAAGGAAACAGCATCAGACATAGAGGCAGAGCCAGGGCCTTCTGTCCTCCTCCAGGTGGAGAGGCAGCTGTCTTCGGGGCCTGAGCTGAGTGAGGAGGAGGAACAGGTGAACAGTGAGGAGGAGGTCCATCTCAGATGCACATATGCGCAGAGAGGAAAGGAGAGGAGAGCAAAGGAAAGCAATAAGCTGCCTCTCAGGGAAAAGCAGACATAGACGCCAGCCAGCCCCTCCCTGGCTGGGAAATAAATAGTAGGGGTTTGGGAGTGGCTGGTTGTTGTAGACAACCATTCATTTTTAGGATACAGCAATTTCGATTTCTAGGCCAGAACCAGGTCTGTTGGGACTAATTATGTTTGGTTTTTTGTTTATCCACATTAATAAAAGACGGTTCCTATCCTGTTTGAAAAGGGATTTGTTTTTACTCATGAGTTAGCAGCTTATCATTACTTGCTAAGGCTGGGTCAGAACAAGACCCAGGGTCAGATAGGAAATGTGTTAGAGTTTATTGCAGAAATCAAATCCAGAAAGCACACATAGATGACACACAGATGACTGATTCAGCAGGATTCATTAACTTCTTTATATACATAATAAGATATGAGTAAAATGTACAATACCATTAGTAGATTCTTCCAACGTAACACAAGCAAAATACAAGCAGCAACTTCAGAGCTCAGACCAGGTTAGTTTCAGTTCTCAGCACAGCACTTAGAGCTGCAGGGCCACACCCAGTTTCCTTCAGTTTCAGTTTCTAGTTCAGCTTTCATTGGCTGACCTTGTTACCATGTCTCTGCCAGTTCATGAATATTCTGACAAAATGGAGGCTGCTTGTTTTACAACATTTTTTCCCCTTTCAACTCCGCAGGTGAGTCCCACCCCAGGATGCATCCGGGCATTAATGAAGATGCTGTACTGCCCTTATTGCCGTGGACTGCCCACTGTGAAACCTTGCAATAACTACTGCCTCAATGTAATGAAGGGCTGCCTTGCAAACCAAGCAGATCTGGACACTGAATGGAATCTCTTCGTAGGTAAGGGTGGGGTTGGATGCAGAGAGGTGAGCGTAGTAATCTGTCAAACTTTCTGATGAGTTGAAACAGTATTTGCCAAGTGGAAAATAGGACATGTTGACAGAATGCCTTCATTCAGTTGTCATTCACGTGCTTTGATCAATTGTTTATGTGTGGTTCCACCTGGGAGCTATTTTCGTGAAATCTCTCTTTGTGGGATGTTGAAGTCCATAAGCAAAATTCCACCTGGTTGGTGCAAAGCATGCTGAAAGATGAAGGCTGCATTTCTGATTCTGTAGGAGCCAGAGGGACAAGGTGTCAGGAGGGGAGGAAGAGAGCGACAAAGACGAAATCCTGTGCATTTCACATTAAATTTTCATGTTCGTCTGCCAGATGCAAGCATAAAGACTGCATAGTCCTTCCTTCTTTGCTTAAAATCCAGCGTGATTGCAAATTGGCGAAACGCCATTATTGTGACAGGCAAAAAGAAAAAAAAATCTTATAAGGCAAATTTTAAAATATTTCAGAGATACTCCTCCTGGGCAAGGAGAAGAATGGATCTCACTTCCATTTCAGACAGTTGTGTGATCTGCTATAATTCACAGAACAATTTGGAAGGGCACTCTCAAAAGATATCAAATTTACCAGTGATCCAAGAACCCTGGATGGCAGGGAAATGGCTCCATTGCAAAGCAAAAGAATGTAATCACAATATGACAAAAGATTAAAAAGGAAGAAAAAGGATGCTATGAATGTGCCTTTCATTCGACTATACATATCTCTATTCCTGAACACATTAAAAAAAAACCTTGCGAAACAGAGTTTTGCATTCTAAAGAAATCTCAAATGGCTGAGCAGTTTTGATTAGTTTCCACTCTCTTTCAGGGACATAAATAAAAATTAATTCTCTGGAAGTGTCTATCTAATCTTTTTTTCACTCTTTTTCTAGTACCTTGGAATGAAATAAATATACAATAATAAGCAATGCAGCAGAAGGAAATACACACAGAGAGAGAGATCAAAATATGTAGCACAGGAGAATTTGTTTAGTCTAGGAAAAAAACCCTAAGAATATGATCTTACATATTTAAGAATCATCAAAAAAAAGTAAGAGAAACACTGATAATAATGAGGAAACACAAAAATTAGGAAAAATAGTGAGGAAACACAAAAATGAGAAAGAAAATGAGGAAACACAAAGAGTACTTAAGACAATTAATATTTACAATGAGGATTTTTTTAAAAATGCATATAATAATTTGATGTTTAGGCCACCTGTGTCACTGAACTCTGTCAGCATTGTACACAACTTCTTTACATTCTCAGTTATTCTCAGGTAAACCATTTTGAACTTCCATTAAGTCAATAATTTGCATAGCAGTGTGGTTCCACTTCCAATCCCAGTTATCATAGTTAGGCAAAGATATCTATTCTCGACTTACAGCTGCAATTGAGCTCCAAATTTCTATTGCTAAGTGAGACAGTTATAAAGTGAGTTTTGCCCCATTTTACAACCTTTCTTGCCACAGTTGTTAAGTGAAGCATAGCAGTTATTAAATGATTCATGCGGTCATTAAATGAATATGTCTTCCTCCATTGATTTTGTCAGCTTGTAGCTCTCTATCGTTTTATAAGGAATGTAATATGGATAAATAAGCAGAACTACTGGTTAAATAAAAGAACATATTGTATGTTAGATATAATCCTTTTAAAAGTAAGATATAATCCTTTTAAAAAATTTATTTAAAAGTACCTGTTGCAGTTATTTGAAAAAAAAATCTATAGGGTGTCAGTCATGTGAGATTAGTGTATGGATTTATTATTGACTGGATAAGAGCCAATAAACTGATGTTGAATATGCAGCGTATGTTTCCAGTACAACACAGGTGATTCTGAGTTTCAGGAAATGGTTGCAAGCTTGTTCTACTAACAGAGAACTTAAAATTGATTTTAAACTAGAGTATTCCTTGGTCCACTGAACATTACTGGGATCTCAATAGTCCTCTTATAGTAGCTATTCATTCTTAAAGAGGAAACAATTTCTGCAAAGGGATTAATACACAGAAAATACCTTGGTGGGCCATCTTGCGAATGTTCTGCCTTTTATTGCTATAACTAATGCTACTGCACTATTTTATTTTATTTACTATTTATTTACTATTATTTACTATTTATTGACTATTGACTATTTATTTTATTTTATTTACTATTATTTACTATTTTGGAAAGATATAAAATTCTCCAAACCAAACTTGGTTAATCTTGAAAAGGCTAAGCGGCTAATGTGTGGGATATTTGTGTTCTCTGAGTTTGGTTGTTTTACGGTAGAGTTTTCATTACCCAACTAGCTACATCAGGGGTCTCCAACCTTGACAACTTTAAGACTTGTCAGCCAGCTGATGAAAGATAGATTTATTAATGTATGGATCGGATAGATAGATAGATAGATAGATAGATAGATAGATAGATAGATAGATAGGTAGATAGATAGACAGATGGATCGAATGGATAGAAAGATAGAAAGATTAAAGAAAGAAAGAAAGAAAGAAAGAAAGAAAGAAAGAAAGAAAGCAAAGCTGGCTGAGGAACTCTGGGAGTTGAAGTCCACAAGTCTTAAAATTGCCAAGGTTGGAGACCCCTGAGCTACATCATCAACACCACATCCTTGTAGTACCGATGATGCTACCTGGTTGGGTAATGAAAGAACCTGCAAGAAAACAACCAAGTTCAGAGAGCATCAAGGATCCCACAGTTCAACTCTGAGCTGCAAATATGCTCTTCTACTGTAAACTAATTTTCTATTGTTCCAAAGAAACATTCACACGTCCAAGTAATCATCAGAAGTTGTGGTTAATTCAAGGGAGACTTTGCATGGCAATTATGGTGATATTGTCCAGTTTTTTGAGGAATTAAATTTTGTTTCATCATACTTTCTGACATTATTAACAACTTTGTGAAAAAAAATTCAAAATTGTAGGCAGTCTATTTCTGTCCGAAAAATGTCAAGCTCCTTCTAATAATAAAGTTTCTATGCGGTTTCCTGGTACAACACCAACTGAATTAAAATGAAGACTGTGCAGCACTATTGAGCTATGAATAATTTGGACGGAATTTGCTTCTGAAGTTCGTGTTGGAAACTAGTCACAAGGGGAGGTATATTAATTGTGCTTATGGAAAGGTGGTAATCTTTCTTCTTCCCCCACTCAGTTCAAGCAAGGCTTTTATTTTATTCTGCTTCGTTGTATGTGTCAAGGCCTAACAGGTGGTAGCTATCCTGAATTTTTGTAGATAGCTTTTATTTAATTATTGGCAGAGATTGATCACCTAGAAAACAAATGGTACCATACAGTCTTACAAGATTATCCAAGCCCCCACCTTATATATTTTCTGTCTACAGAAAATGCAGAGTTCATACTGCTTCTGGCAAGAGTGTTCTCAGCTTCATCTTATTTATTTCTTTGTTAAATTTGTACCTACCTTGCCTTTCATTCTGGAGGTCTGTGCCGCATAAATACACAGCCCCTCTCCCCTTTTCCCCACAACAGCAACTCACTAATGACATTGGGAAAGTCACTGGTCCAAAGTCATGGTCCATGGTTCAGGATGAATTTGAACCTGAGTTTCTCCAATGCTTATTTAACATTTTATTTTTTATTTATTTGTATCCCATCTTTATTATTTTCACAAATAACTCAAGGTGGTGAATATATACATCATATCCTCTTCTTCCTATTTGCCACACCACAACTCTTTGAGGTGGGTTAAAGCCCAAGATCACCCAGCTGATTTTCATGCCTAAGGAGGGACTAGAATTCACAGGCTCCTGGTTTATAGCTTGGTGTTTTAACCACTAGGTCAGTGGTGGCTAACCTTTTTGGGCTTCTGTACCCACTCACGTGCCAGTACCCAGAAGGCAATGTGCGCCTCCCACACCCCCTATGCATGCGCGCGTAATCCCCACCCACCCACCCCCGCTGCCCCCTTACCTGCACTGTGCCTCACAGCTGATTTTTGGCGGGTTTGAGGCCTTTTTCAGCCTCCCAAAGGCTTGAAGAAGGCTTCTGCAGGCTTTGCTGGCTGAAAACTAGCCCCGTTTCGTCACTTCTGGTATTTTCGGAAAAACAGGAAGTGACAAAACGGGGCTGGTTTTCGGCCTTCAAAGCCTGCAGAAGCCTTCCTCAAGTCTTTGGGAGGCTGAAAAAGGCCTCAAACCAGCCAAAAATCAGCTGTGAGGCGCACGCATGCCCAGTGAAGTAAGTTTGCCTGAAGCTCGCATACTGGCACAAATGGCTCTGTGTACCACCTATGGCACGCATGCCATAGGTTTGCCATCACGGCACTAGACCAAATTGACTCTCTAACATCTTAACTATGAGACCACAATGGTTGTCGCATGACTTATCCAGGCAAGAAGATGAAATCATGGAGAAACTTCTCACATTTTACAATGGCCGAGAGCTACATACATAAGTACATCCACCTCTTTAAACGTTTTTGCCTTTTTCAGAAATAATGCCTTATCCCAATCCCCATTTAAAACCATAGAGATTTTTAAAGTGAAAAAGAACTGTAGTTCATTGCAGATAAATTTTTTTTCCATGTTCTGAAAAATTATGGCTCCAGGAAAATTGCTGACTTCCCCAAGTAAAATAAGAATTAATTTACTCTGGAACAGAATTTTTTCTGTTTAAGCCAGTATTTCTCAACCTCAGCAACTTTAAGATGCAAAGATGTCCACTATGTGGGAGTTAAAATCCACGCATCTTAAAATAGCTACGGATGAGGAACATTGCTTTGAGCTATTCTGCTCCCGAAGGAAGCAGAATAGACCAACCTTTAGCCTGAACAAAGCTGGCAGAGTGAAGAAGACAACTTGAACAGTAAAGTTTGGCTGCTTTATAACCTCCCTCTCCTCTTCAAATGATTTCTTTCGGAAGGAATTATTATTGTAACTTTCCTTCTGGTTTCAGTTCCAAGTGGGGAAAAAGACACTGGAAACATGGAGGCTGTTTGGAAAGATG